AGACGGTGCTTCTTATAAGCATCTTCGTGCTTGCAAAGCCAATGTCTGGCTTAAAATGAAAAAGCTCTGGGGCACGAAAAATATCTTCACAATGCAAAGGTCCCATGTACCGGTTTTTCGGGAAAGGAAATGCACACCCATGTCTAGGTTGTTTTTCTGATGTCGCCTGACAACAAAATTCGTCTTCAAGCCTACTTTTTGGCTTTGCCATGGCCACATAAAAGCTGTTTGACATGCCATGCAAGCTTTTTTTTTCATACCCATGGCTCTTGTCTGTACTATTCTGACAGTTTGTATATCTCGTGTTAACTACTTACTATCTCTGGCCATAACTAGTTAGCTAACTATCTTAACACACATAAGTAGTTACTAACACCCAGGCCCATAAAAGCTGCGGTTGCATCGCACTTTCTTGCGTATTGGCTTGCCGCGATGCCCACCATGTGTAGCCTGCATTTCCTGCACTTGCTGGTGCCCGGTGGCGGATCCGCGTAGAGGGTGAAGTGCTTGGAGCGGGCGAAAGGCCACCCGCACTTGGTCTTCCACTGCGCCGAGCAGACTGTGGGTGCTGGGTCCATCAGGTGTACCACTTTGGACCGGCCGTAGGTTTTGATCCACTTGGGCCTGTCGATGAGCACCTCCAGCTGACTGGGCACGCGAGCTGTAGGGTCGCCGGGTCGCCCACCGCCGCGGCTCGGAAGAGCTCGGCTTTGGTTTGGCCTTCGGAGCTCCGCGCTTGCCCCTGCGTGTGCCCACGCTTTGTCCGCCCAGGCTTCCTCTGCGTACTGGAAGACAAGGTCTGAGTGCCACCGGCCGAGAAAGGTGATCTCCGGGATCGAGAGGCCTGCCCTCACGTAGAACAGCGCCCCCGACCTTCTCGCCGAGTGGCCTTGCAGCGGTGTTCCCGCCGCGTCCGACCAGGCTCGTAGAACTTCCTCCCGCGTGGCCTGCCTGCCTTCCGTAGTCACCACCACTTTCTTTGAAGAGGAGGTCGTGGTACCCCACCGTGCCTCGCAGGCTGCCTTGAGCTTCTTCGCGACCTCCACCGGGCAGAAGTTCGGGGAGGCAGCCCAAGGTTCTTTTCACTCCTTTGCTCTCCTGGTCGCCCTTGGACTTCTCGAGGGTCACCGCCACCGAGGAACCATCCTTGGCGATGTCCAGTTGAGGTCCAGGAGCTCTATCATTCTCATCATGAAGAGGGCCAGGGCGTAGGTGAGGACTGGGTAGGCCACGTTCCCGGGCTTGAGCACGTCTGCCTCCTTGTCCTTGAACCGGGCCAACCGGAATGCGGGTGCTCTCTTTGCTGGCCCTTCGTTGCGCTTGAGGGCCCTCTTAAGCGACGTCGAAGGCCCTCTTGATTGCCGGCAGCTCCCAGTCCCGCTCTGCTTGGAGGACCCTGAGAGCACTCAGGTGCTGCGGCCCAGACTTGTAGCCCGCTTTCTTTAGCACCGCCGCGAACTTGTGCACCGTGCTGGGTGCCAAAGGAAACGGGTCCCTGCCTTGGTTCACCGCCGCTGCGAGGTCGAGCGCGTCCTTGTGCCTTCGCGCTCTTGGGGCCATTGGGGCCGCGTTCGTCGTCGAGAAGAAGTTGGCCTCGAGATCGCGGAGCGCGTCTTGGAGCTCGGCCTCGTCTTCGGCGACAGCCAGGGCCTTGGCGGAGGCTGAAGGCTCGTTCGTCTGCGTGGCCACCGAAGTCCCTGGAGGCGAGGAGGCTCGCCTCGCGTTGGAGCCCCATGAAGGTTCGGACTCCACTGCGTGCTGGAGGTCGTCGTGGTTGTGGGTTCTCCTCGGTGTCGCCTCTGGCTCGCGCGCGGCCCTCGACGGTGTTCTCGGTTCTCTCGGGGTCCTGGGGGTGCGAGCCCTGCGCGGGGTTCCGGGAGATCTCCTTCTCCCCTTCGCGAACGGCAGCACCTGTTGTCCATCTTGCCACCCTGAACGTGCCCCACAGAGCTGCAGGGGGGAGCGTGAGCGCTGTCCAGGCGGCGCAACCACACAGGAGGAGCCATGCTTCGAACCTTTCGAGGGGGATCGAGTGCCGGGGCGGGTGGGGCCCAGATTGTGAGCTCCATGCTGCTGAACCTGACCGAACGGAACAATGAGTACATGCATGCTTGCCTACCGCCCTCACGAACACTCACAGAAAACAACATGTGCATTGCTGCATCTCCGTCCGGAGTTCAGCAGGTGAGGGCTTGCCAGGTCGCTCCCGCCGCTGTGGCGTCGTGCGACCCTAGCAGACCGAGTGTGAAATCCTCTGCTTTGAGCTTGCTTGGCTTGGTGCTGCGAATTTCCTGCAGCTCTGCCGGTGGGTCGCCCCTAGACCTCGGTCGGGAGAGGTAGTCCGCCAGCTTGTTCATCTTGCCGGGTATGTGAAGCAAGCCCAGCTGGCCCACTTTGTGGCTTTCGAGCAGGAGCGAAAGCTCAGCGGCCAGAGCGTTCAAGGCCGGGGAAGAGGACGACTCCTTGTCCGCCACCGCCAAGGCCACCGTAGAGTCGGACCTGACGGCGAGGCCCATGTCGATCCCCGAGAAGAGGGTGCCCCACTCCTTCACAGCCAGGAAGAGCGCCAGGGCCTCCAAGTAAGCCTGCGACTTGTGGGAGCCCAGCAAAGCCCAGGAGCTTGGCATCCTCCCCGTCCACCTCGTACTCGTAAGTTCTGAGGATCGTCCAGGGGCAGGTGTTGGAGGTCCTGAGGAAGAGGCCGCCGCAGCCTGAAGGGAGGCGTCCGTGATGATCATGGCGTGCTCCGTGACCCGCCACAGCGTCTTCTTGGTAGCCAGCCGCTGGGTCCGAAAGAGCTCGGCCAACCAGCGCCTAGCTATCTCGAACCTCTTGACCGGGATGAGGTGGTCCTTGTTCCTAGGGTCGTCTCGTCTCGCTCGCCTTGCTTCTTCTTCCCCACTTTTAAGTTCTGCTTCGTGGGCCGCCAAAGCCGCGTAGAGCATGCTCACCGCCCACCGCGATCTCTTGTAGATGCCCGCGGCCCACGTGAGCTTGCCCGTGACGGACCTGAGCTCGGAGACGGGGATCATCCCCTTCCACTTGTCGAGGTAGCCCAGGATCTCCGTCCTCAGCTTGTCTGGCACTTCGCAGAAGAGGGCTCCCTCCCGCCATCTGAGCTCGAACTGGACACCAATCCAGACCAACTTGGTGCCTCGGTCGCCTTTGGCCCACGAGAGCTGGATGCCCAGCGCCGCCAAGGTGAGGAGCATGAGGGAGAGGTTCCTGAGCCGGCGGGTTCGGGAGCCCACCAGGACTGCGAGCGGGTCGTCCACGTAGGTGGCCAGCTGCAGCTCCCCTTTGGCAAACATGCCCTGCACCAACCTTGTGAACAAAGCCGACAACCGGCACATAAGCAGCGGAGCTGTTTTGTGCCCAAAGAACAAGGCCACGAAGACGTAGACGTGTTTCCCGTCCCCCGCGGGGGAGACGCACTGCGCCAGTTCCTCCTCGGCCATGGGAAGGTGGGTGAAGGCGTCGACGAGGTCCGCGGCGATGAACTCGGCTCCCCACTCGCTGCGGTCCAGCTTGTTGGCAAAGTACCACGCCCTCAGGTCCGGCTCCGCTCTCTTCATGTCCTTGAGCATGTGGTGGACGTCCTCCGGCCGCGGCAGCACTATCCTTTCGGGGCACACCGCCTGAGCATTCGCCCCGGACCGCAGCGCGTCTACGATGACACGCCGCTTTTTCGTGCCGTCCGCCTTCTCCTTGATGATGAGCCCCGAACGGCTCACCACAGGCTTGCCGAAGTATTTCTCCGCATCTTCGATGGAGATTTTCTTGACGAAGCCCTTGGCCATCAGCCTCTCCATCTCCTCATCCGCGTCGAGCCTGTTGTCCATGAAGCTCTTGTAGTTGCCCTGGGTGGCCCACTCCTCGGCTTCGACTTGCGATTCATACGCCTTTGGGTCCGCATCGATGCCGGTGCAGCGTATTGGCAGATGGGCGCCTAAGGGGGCCCCCCGCCTCACCCAATGAAGAACTTCTTCGTCTGGATCATGGGTCGAGGCCATCCAGGCCTCTAGCAGCTCTGCGTCGATCGGCGAGGCGTATTCGAGGACGCCCTTCAGGCGCACCGGCTCGGCAGTGTTGCCCCCCGGGAGGGCAAAGGCAGAACCCGCTTCTGGGTGCCCGTCGGGAGGATTTTCAATCGTCGTCGGTCTGAGGAGGCCGTCGCCGGGCTGGTTGAGCTGGCTGCCCTCGACCGCCATCAGGATCTCCAGGGCGTTGACCGCCATCACGGTTCCGCGGTCCGCCTTCTCGTGTTGGGCCTTCGTGTTCCCGGGGAGGCCGTAGATGTGCTCCCTTGACCTGACCGGGCCCGGCATGCCTGGCGCAGGTTTCCACCTCAGCTTGGAGAAGGTGCCGCAGGGGAAGCCGGCGTGCGCCGCGGAGCGTCTCTTTGTGGAGGGCCGGGTCGAGGAGGTTGTTGCCGCGGCTGATGTCGAGGCTCGTGGTCTTCAAGGTGATGCCCGCCTTCTCGCATTGGTCCATCAGCGCCTCCGCTAGCACATCCCGCTCGCCCGAGTAGAGGTGGAGGAAGCGGCCAACATGCAGAGGCCGAGGCTTTGCGGAAGACATGTTGCAAACAGGGTCTTGCCAATTTTCCTGTTGGGATCTCTGGAAAATCGGGATCTTGACCTCCTTTATTAGGCCCCATGGATATTTCTAATAGAAATATAGTGCGGGCCCCACTAAAGAGGCCAACCCAGCCTTTCGGGCCCAAAACTGCGTGGACCTAGCCTACCGTCTCTAGGCTCCCCACAGCTCCGAGCCGTCTTGCACAAGGTGCTCCCGGCTCATGTGGTCATGCCCCGCAGCAGAGGAACTAGGGCACACGTGCACAGACCGAACATGTCCTTTTCATGCCTTCTGGGGGCACTGCGAGCTGCGATGGCCCGGGCTAAGACAGATGCGGCACTTGTGCGCCCTCTTGACCTTGCCTTTGCAGGCCTCTCCCGGGGCGCAATCCGCACAGGGCCCTTTCGCCGAATCCCAGCTGAAACAAAGGTCCATGCCCACCTGGTCCTTCGCCTTCAAACCGCCCTGGTCCTTGTTGCCGCCCTTGGTGTCCTTGCCGCCGCCGTCGCCCGCAATCTCTTGAGCTCCTCCTTGTCTGCATTCACCTTGGCTTTCTTGAGCAGCCGGCGCTCCTTGGCCGTGCGCCGCTTGTTGGGGCTGCCCTCGTCCTCGAGGCCCGCGGCGGAGCCCCGGCTGTGGTTGTAGTCGTCCTCGGGCGTCTTGGGCACGCCCCGGCCTCCGGTCGCCATCCAGGCGTTCGCTGGCGCCCTGACCTGCTCCTCCCAGTAGGCGCTGTCATTGACGATGGCGTGCATGGCTGCAATCCAAGGTCGGCGTTCATCCCACCGGTCGGGCTTCGGCTTCCCCGCTGCGTTGTCCGCGGTGATCTTCAGCCGGAACCGTGCCCACTTTTCCCCGCGGGCTTTGTCATCGGCAAGGGCTACGAGATGCCACGCCGCCGGGTAGAGTTTAGTCAGGCGTTCTATGTGCCGCTCGTACAGCTGGAGGGTGGCGAGCGGGAGGATGTCCAGCATGATGGCCGCCGTCTGGAAAACCCGCCAGGCTGCGAGCCACTGGCTGTAGTTCGAGGGCCCCGGCAGCTCCTTCGCGATATAGGCCCCCGCTCCGTCCGGGAACCACGCCCTGAACTTGGTCGCCTTGAGCGCTCTCCGCCCGTAGGGCTGCCAAACTGCCAGGTCCACGTAGGGCGGCAGGTCCAGCGAGGCCACCCGCTTGTTCAGCGCGCTGAGCTGCTCCACGGTGCAGTCCTCGTCCTCCTGCGGGGCGCCCCCCATAATCGCAATGTATAGCGCTGGTACCACCGGTCCGCCGTGGCCAAGCTCTCCGGGGCGAACTCTGAGTCATCTGACTGGTCGATGGTGGCCGACATCTTGATGCCCCTTTCCTTCAGGCCTGTAGTTGTAGATGACGTCGAGGTCGCAGGTGCCGGGGGTGCCGGTGGCTTGGCCCACGGGTCCACATCGGCCCAAGCCTCATAGTCCCCTCCCCATTTGGTCCAAGCAATTCTCCTGCACAAGCGCCATACCAACCCAATCTGGACCGCCTGAGTCGGATTTAGAGAAGCTCCATCAGCGAACCTTGCTGTCATAACGTTTTCCACCAGGGCCTCAGGAGGAAGGGCGGCCAGGATCCGCATATCTGGCTGGCCCAGCTGAGCATGAACCACGGCCCAAGTGTCATTTGTGACCCCGTAGAAGACCCTGACAGCCTCGACGGAGCCCATGGCCAAAGCCTCCTCCTTCGTGGGGAAGAGACTCATGCTGGTCCGCGCGCCCAACCATCAGACGGCACACGAACTAAAAATCGAAACTGGAGCCTCTCAGCCTCGGGCCCAGCCGTCTTCTAGAAGCAGATCCCACCCTACCACCCATGCAGCAGCTCATGCCCCTTATGCATTTCATGCATTACAATACCCTTTCCCCGAGAAAACAACAATGGTTTCAAAACTATGTGATTCTGCTACGTATGCACTCCTGGCGTTGGGCAAGCGCTTGCCAGCCCAGCTTCAAGTGGATAACGAGTCCGAGCCTCACCGACAGCTGAAGGCTACACTGGTTCAAACCGTCAATCGTCGAGTGATGCACGAAAAGACTCCAAACGAGCTCCGGGCACAAACACCAGCTCGTAAACATGACAGAAAATCACCTCAACTGTCGGAGTGTACAACTCATGCAGACGTTCACCGCCAATGGACGAGAAAAAGCAATCCGTCGGAGACAGGTCGCATATTGCTCTTTTTTTGGATGCAGCGCCTTGAGGAAGCTTGCCATACCCTCAAGGCTAGGCAAGGGAAATGCGAATTTGCCTCCGGTAGTAAGCAAGTCCTGAAACTCCAGATTGTCTGAGTGACAGCGAATGCACCATGCAAGCAGCAGACACGTTTCCAAGTGCATCGTGTCCTGGAAGCAAGTTGCTGCAATGCCTCGCATGCACCGATGCGAATTCAAACTGCACACACATACTCCATTCTCCTAACTGGCAGCTAGACCGAGTTCTGCAACCTAGATCGGCGGGAATGAATACAAATGTCTGGCCATTGTAGCGGGAAAATTGTGCCATTTGCGCCGGTGGCCGTGATTGCCTGGCCTAAGGTTACCCCATTGTGCGCTTGCTTGCGGACCTTGTTGTTAGGAGCTCTCGACGCAGGCGAAAGAGCCGAGCTGATCAATGCCGGGATGCATGTGCTCGCAAGAATTCGCAGGGCGTATCGACAGGGCGCCCGCGTACGGGGACAAAGCTGAAGCTCGTAAGGGCTGAGCCTCAGTTTCATCTCCACTTGAGATTCGTGGCCGGTGACAACAACCTTTCCTGCCGTGGGACCAGGAAGAGATTGCCAATGTCGCAAGTGCTGAGGGCCTGTCAGACTCTCAGAGAAAGACTTCCCGAAAGGCTCTGGAAACCGAGAAGCTGGCAGCAGACCAGTGAAGTGGTGACCGGCTCCGTTAAAGGAGGCCTCAGCCGCCACCAGCCAGAACAGAGACGGTACAAGTCTGAACTGTGTGCGAGTTGATTCAGCTCCCCTGGGCGCCATGCACCAGGCACTGTATGATAGCTCAGAATCACCGCAGGCACCTCCAGGCAGAATGCAATGAAAACTGATCAGACGGTTTTCTGCAACAAGCACCCACAGCAAGTGCGCCACGGTGGCAGCACGGAAACGGCCTCAGCTCTGGCAGTGCATCTGGAAGAACCCCAAGCCGACTTGTTGAGTCGATCCAAGTTGGCGGCCCACTGCAGAGAGCAAGCCGAACACCACAACGTCCACTTGGAACAAACCTGGGCATTGGCTGCCTCAATCAAAGCTGGACTAGTTACCAGTTACAACAGGTGGCTGATAGACCTGCCAGACCTCGTATGGTGCGGGGGTTGCCACTCATTAGGTGCACCCAAAGATGAGGCCGATGGCAAGGCCATCGCACACTGAACCAAGCACCGCCCCAGCCATTCAGAAGGGCGCAGACCTGAACATGAACAAAAGGGCCTTTCCTCGGGCTTGGACTCTCGAAGATGTCGGCATTCATGCAAGGCGACGCCCTGCTCGGCAAAGGCGGGATCTTGTGCAAAGTTGCACTCAGTACGTTCAACAATATATCGACAGAAGTCCAGCCAGTCTTCAGTCATCCACTTTCATCCCTTCGGCCAGGCGCCTGCCCATCAGCGGCCCATGCACCAAGAACGAGCTCGACATCAAATGCAGCGGATGCGCCTGCACCGGATGAAGGCGGACAAAATCCAAAACGCCACCCACTCTCTGCCCACCGAGGCCAGTGCACACTCGTCTCGCTTCGCGCTGTAGTGGTGAAACAGCCTGAACTTGGGCTCTTTTCTTTGGAGGAGAGATGAGGGCAGGGGAGCAAAGGTCGTCACGACACACGCAGATCATCGCGTATAACGCTGTGAGGCACGCACGCGTGGGACTTCAAAATGTTGTTCATGGGAACATCTGCAAAGGGCGCGTGAACGAAAACCTCAGCCAGCCAGCGACATTGAGACTCAAAACGATGATGCTCCGAGCCCCCTGCAAAGCTCCAGAATGAGACCACCGGTGAAATCACAAGCCATCCTCGCCATCGCTCAAGTTCGGCTACATGCAGATCGATGCAAACTGGTTTCGAAACATGAAGCCAAGCTTCTCTTCAAGATGTGGTGCAACAGACCTCTGACCCAGCCCCACAGGGAGATTGCCTGAGGCTCCCGAAGAAACGCAGGGACAGACCAGGGGGGGTTGCATCGCCTGTTTCAAGGACCTACGGCTGATGCTGAGGTGGACCAGGAGCACCACGAAGGCCACGTTCACGCGGTTCAGGCCACCTATAGCGATGTGTCCGTGGAAACGAAAAGAGTCGACAAGACAAAAGAGCAGCGCCCTCCTTCCCTCAAAGAAAATCCCTTATCCCTTAAATTCGAAGTGCCAGTCCGCTGCGGAGGAGGCAGAGCCAGGCTCCGCTCGTGTGCTGGGTGACGGGAAGCCAGGGTCCGTGGTCGACGACGTGGATGAACATCACCTCAGCGCTCTCATGGCGCTGACGCCCTATGACGCCTTATGACTCATGCCTCCTCTTCCTACCGAGCGGCAAGGACCGTGAGCCACAGCCTCGCAACGTCCAGGTCCCGTGGCCCTCGAGCCAGGCCGAGTCGCAGCCTGCAGAGTGGGAGATAAAGAAAGCGGCCGTTTGCATGGGTCCCTGCGACTTACTCCAAAGGCCCGGGCAGATGAAACTGCGGCGCGAGGGAGGGTGGAAACTCTGATGCTTCCCTGGAGCAGTCAAGGAATTCGGTCGCGGTGGGTGTGCGTGTGTGCGTGCGTGC